AAAGGATTCAATGGAGACTTACATAGTTGTTACTTATTATTCATATCGTATTCCAATCCAACTCTACCATTTTTGTAAAGGAACATTTTATTTCGAGGCAAACAATAATCGAGATGACACAGGAAAACGTGACCACAAAATATCTGTCAGACAACCCTCCTAGAGCTGCAAGCTGGACGTTAACAATAAATTTTGTAAACATCGACAAAGAAACAAAAGAATGAATGATGATACACCGAAATTATTTTTACTGGCTTTTTATCCTATTTTGAACGGGGAGAGCGTCAAAGCGCGAAGTAGAGATGTGCGATGCAACAACGTAACCACGGACGTAACGGTTTTATTTTATCTATTTCGGAAATCAATGGCGCTTACCATTGACCTTACTGTTAATAATTTACATTAGCAATGAATAAAACTTATCTAATTATAGATTTCCACGACAACTTAATAAATGCTTAAAAACCGCACACCTCTACATTTGCACTTCGACGATTCTGTATGACAGTCTTAATTTCTGTTTTCTTATTACAAATAATACCTAATACATATTAATATCTTCTACTTGTTATAGAGATAGGTATTTCTTTCAAAAACTTTCATTTAAATTCAAGTAACATTTAAGTAGTTCCATTCAATTTTAACGCCACCCTTTGCGTCGTAACAATAATAACAAGAACATCCAGGTGCAAATTTGTATCGATAAACATGACAAACAGCTCGATAAATATTCATAAGGCGGCTTCACTAGTTGCGAGGATTCTGCGAGCATTCGGTCATGGCTGGGTAATTTGTTTTTGCGTCTACCCCCCTTCACGAGGGGGAAACTAATGGGGGTGGGATTGTTGTATCTTTGTACCAGGTGTATAAATTAAGGCACAGGGGATTTCGGGAACAACCCATTTCGATCTTACGTAAGCTCGCCTATTTCGAGATTGAATGTTGGATACTCTTGATTTAATTACTGTGAGATTTATTGACTACATAAAACTTACCTACATTGTCTATTCGTTTATCTATTCATGACTAAAACTGAACCGTTAATACGCAGTGTTTCCTCGGCGTTTAAATTCAATACCCTCCATTTATGTTTACGTTTATTCGTAACTATAGTTCTGTCATCTATCTTTATTTCGGTACAACATCCATTACTCTAACAAGTATGCAATGGTGCTATTTTGATGGCTTCCTCTAAATTCTCGCAGCTCATTCATGGTAATGCTAGTGGTGTTATTTTTAATGTCGGTGTAAATAAAATCTTAGTCTGTATTTTTTTTTTATTTCTTTCTTTCTATTTATAAGTATAACATGATTGAAATCCTTGTAAAACCTTGTTATCTATCCACTATCCATCAATCCAGCCGGCTTATCTGGCCGAGCCGCGCATTCACCTGAGCATGTCCACTTGGACAATAAGGCTTTAAAAACATAATCCTCCTTCTGGCGCAGTCGGGTAAAAAGAACCTAATTATGATACAGAAACCGATAACGATCGGCGAATTCAAAAGCTCTTCACTATCACTTGACAAATACTTTCGGTTTCACATTCACATATGCATAAACAATTACCAGACCACCGCTTTTGCGGGTTCCCACGTCGAGAGCGAAAGTGGTCTAGATTTCTACGGTTTTATAATAGATAGCCGCCGATTTATCCGAGCTACCACCCTTGGCGGGTCGGGTTAGGGCTCAGATTGCTTAAACGATTAAAAGTTAAAAATAGCAAGCGCACTATATCAGTTAGGAAGCAATATTGCACCGGTGCAATATTACGTAAAAGTTTTTGACAGTTCGAAAACTTGACTTTTTAAAAAGAGAGCATTATACTTTTGAAAAAGTAAAGTGGTCTTACATGAATTACGAGGGGCGGCTGAAAAGTTTTGAGCCTAGGGTATTAAAAATGCCGATAGAAAAGTATAAAAAATATATTTTTCTATTTGATCTCCCTCTACTACAACGGACTTCTTATATTTGTGTAAAAGAGCTTTTAACCCACTGAAAAAAAAATCGCAATCTTTGCCTTCGAAATGAGCCTTTCGCGCGCCTTCATTTCTTTGTCACTCAAAAATCTTCGTTCCTGGAGGTCTTTTTTTCAATTTGAGAATTAGACAAAATAGCTAAGGATTCGGACTAAACTATGTGGTGGGTGATTAATTTCTTGAAATCCAGTTTTACCCGGGGCAATCTTTGCAATATGCGCGGTGTGCGCGGGCGAAATGTCTTGCAATATCAGATTTCCTTTCGCCAGTTTGCCTCTTAATATTTCAACAACCACTTGACGCACTCTTATCAACAGTACATCATGATAATCCCCGTTTATTGTAGTTTTTTTAAGTAGGTAGTCAATGAATAAAATTCCTCCACAATCCCAAAAATGGTGACTATGAGCTTGGGTGTCGATCGCTCCGCTTTGAATTTCCGCGGCAGCGTTTTCCCTTTTTAATCCATTGCATTGACTCTTATTTTTGACTCTAGATTGTACTGCAGGATCTATTATTTATCAATAGTGACAATTTGAGAAAAAAAAATGTTAGGATTATGGGCAAAGATGTCCTAAAACTCTTGCGAAGTTGTGACTCGACGCTGGTTGTCGAGCGGCGTGAGCATTTTTGGCACCCATCGCGTGCACCCCTATTTCATGTGCAAATGAGTGTGTTAAATATCGCCGATATGTTCCTTGCTAATACCTATGGCTTCAGCTATCTGTCACAGTTTAAATCGCTGATCTCTAAAGCGAGATTCTTTAAATTTTCATTATTTTATTCGTTAATGGCGAAATCTGGCCGCCCTGACTTGAGGTCATCTTTTAGCGACTCCCTGCCATGCTTGAACTATCGGATCCAATCTTTCATGATAGCAAATGAAGGCCCAGACTCCCCATAAACTGTAGACATCTCTTCAAATGTTACCGTCAGCGTTTTGTTCCTCTTTTTGAGGAATTTTATGACAACTGTGTACTTCAATTTCGTACATTGCGCGGATAACTGAGACTTGATGATGTTTACGGATTAATTACTAAAAGCGTGATGACGCTAATGAAATGAAATTTTGTACATATACTAAGGAGGTTATTGGCAAATTAATTAAATTTAGTGCGAGTCAATAATAACACTTGAAGATACTTAGGCTCAAAACTTTTCAGCCGCCCCTCGTATCTTACATGGAAAAATCAAAATTACGACTGCGATTTGTATTTTAGATCTTAGATATTCTTAGTAGCTAAACACTTCATGCAAGTTAAAGCCCAAAAAGTAATGTAAAGTTGTTAATATTGTGTCAATAGATCTTTCGATTTCGAATCTCCGTGTGTAAACCAAACACGGATAAACAATTGCCCAACGCGATACGATTAGGATGGTCGCAATCGCGATAGATAGGTACCCACAATTAGACGTCACTCGTATGTCGAAAGCTGTGGCAATCCCAGAGCAATTGTCGTGCAAAATTGCCGGTTTTCTTTCACACTATATTAAACTATATTCCCACGTGCGATTTTGATAGCGATATGAAAACTTCGGGTTTCATTAGTCATGGTTAATCGTTTTCACCCCACCTCGCGTGACGTGCCATTGGTTTTAAATACCTTTTGGTAATGACCGGAGGGTATATTTGAAGCCACCGAAAGCCATTCCGATTGACAAAGGATTCGACTAAGTAGTTGTTGGATCCGTTAATTTGATAACGATGTTTGCTTTACTTTGAACGTGTTTTAATCAGGTTATTTAATTTACCTTGAATAGGGTGAGGGTGTTCCTGATTTTATGCTAAATCGTTATTTCGAGTGCATTGTTGGTTAACATCATTAAGTAAAAGTTTATTTACTTAGTTATCACCTATTCCCTATAGATGGACTTAATTACAGAGCTTATGATAGCGACATTTAAAATAGAAGTGCTTATTTTTAGTGCATTGGTATGCAAATAAACAATTTGAATTTGAATTCATAATAACCAAACTCAATCGACACAGAAAATCGTATGATTTTCAGCAAGTTTCAGCAAATAGCTAAAAGATGAGGATTCCTGAGAACTCTGAATGGACAGCTGGGCTATAAATGTCCAGGAATCTATTTCTACCTCTCCCTCAAGTTGTGGTCAGCGCAACGGTTGCTTAGGCGCCGCGCTCACTAGCGTTTAGGACCAAAAAATAATATTGTGAAACAAATTCATAATAATTGTAGAAAGATAGAAAAGACATGTATGTTTTTTTATTTCTCTACCTTACTATTTGTACTAATTGAAAAGTGCATAGATATCGCCGAAAATCAATGTTGTATGGAATTTCCCATGTCTGCACTGTGTGTGAGTCACATGTAGGTAGGAAACAACTACTTTCCATGTCAAGCCTGTAATTTTAGGAGGCTTTGTTATTATTGTTAATTTACATAATGTATTCTTCTTTATCTACATATAATCTCTGTTTAAAATGCATTTCAGAAAACCAATCTCCTTAATCCTTTCAATAACCTCTAATTTATTTACAACTTACAGTTTGACACCACTTACAGATTTTTTCTATTCGTTGTTACCTACTGAACTTGTTAGTGAGTCCGTGGGCGCAGACCCTTAGGTAGAGTAAGCAAAACAACAGCGCATCAGTGCCTGACAGTCCCTTCCGCGTGAGCTATGTGTTGAATAGGGTGTAGGACGTTGTCCTTCCGTACTCGCGCGGTGCGGACGTTACTTTCGATGTTTTACCATTTTTGGGCGCTAAAACTTGGAAATATTGTGTCGTTATTGCTCGGGGTAAATTAAAAGTTTTTGGTAGGCACGTGTGACTTTGTAAATAAATAAAGGATGTTCTTTATTCATGTTCAGTAGTGAAATTTAAGGACAGCCAACACGACTTTGGGTCCCCGTTTCTCCGTTTCGCACTTACGCAAGTTTCGACAGCTTTTATCACCCTTCGAAGATTTGCCGATAAAAATAAAAACATCCTCGCTTGTTTTAATGCGTAGGGTCGGAAAGTACAGTCATAAATAACGGTTTAATCACTTTCAGGTCCAACTTGGGAGGTGACCTCGGAAGTTTTCGTTGGTTTCGCCGACGACTCGTCGAGTGATTTAAGTGCAAGTTTAGTGCGTGGGTGATTTCTCCTCCGGTGGTGCCGGGGGTGTGCGAGGGTTGTCAAAATTGCCAAAGTGTCTCCCATAAAGTTGTCGGCGATGGACAGCAACTCGGTGTCGCCGATGCCGGAGCTGGCGCCGATCGCGGAGTTCGACAAGTCGCCGCCATCGCCGCCGAATGAGGAGGTCCCGATGGATGACCTCCCGCCGCCTCCTGCTACGATCTCCGGGTCGGAAACGAAGAAAGTCAAAGTGTGAGTACTAATTAACATTTCTTTCTGTGAAACGACTCTCAAGCTCGAGCATGAGTCTGTTCTCAATAGTAGCTTTCAAGACCATGTTTTGAAAAATTAGAATTCAACCAATCATAGACAGATACATTTCTGGCTTTTAATCGAGTTTTGAGCGTCGTTTTGTAATACAACGTTCATAGAATTTGACGATCCTGAAAACAAGTTAGATTTATTTAAAAAAACTCTACTGACTCGATGTCAGTAAACTGTCGTAATAATAAATCAAGATGCTTTATAAACTTATTTCACTTTAAGATTGCCAATTTTTATTGATGCGGATTTAAATCGCATTTTCGCTGCTCCCAGCGGTAAATTCCGTACTAGGGCATGTAATATCGGAAGGTTTTCAATTCCGATATTGGTTTCCGATATTAGATCTCAATATCGGAATTCCGATATTAATATCGGAATTGAGTTTATGTGTTATAAATTGAATATTTGGTTATATTCGTAACATTTCTCGATTGTATACAGTCAAATAATGATTTTCATCAAAATCTTTAATTTCGTACGAAACAGCACTTCCTAAAATTATAAAATTGAAGTATTTAAAATGTTATGGGTATCCATTGNTTCGTTGGCTTCGCCGACGACTCATCGAGTGATTTAAGTGCAAGTTTAGTGCGTGGGTGATTTCTCCTCCGGTGGTGCCGGGGGTGTGCGAGGGTTGTCAAAATTGCCAAAGTGTCTCCCATAAAGTTGTCGGCGATGGACAGCAACTCGGTGTCGCCGATGCCGGAGCTGGCGCCGATCGCGGAGTTCGACAAGTCGCCGCCGTCGCCGCCGAATGAGGAGGTCCCGATGGATGATCTCCCGCCGCCTCCTGCTACAATCTCCGGGTCGGAAACGAAGAAAGTCAAAGTGTAAGTACGACAACATTTTCAGACTTGTGTGAAACGACACTCAAGCTCGAGCATGAGTATATTCTCAATGATATAAGTATTCATGATTGTTTTGTTTATAAAAATTGAAATTTACCCAATCATATATAAATACATTTCTGGGTTTGAATCGAGTTTTGAGCGTCGTTTTGTAATACAATGTTTATAGAATTTGATCCTGAAAACAAGTTACCATTCTCACGTAGAGAGTAAACTGTTGCAATAATAATCGAGATTGTGATCATTTGTGTTTTTGCTATAGTAAATTCACAGCAGTAAATTCCGTACCTTGATATATACAGGGTGTCCCAGAATGGGTGAATCAAACTGCTAGGGGAGGTAGCTCTACTAATGTACTATCCCTCAAAAATATGAAAAAAAAAAATAAAGCGCATAAGGACACAATTTTTTTTAAAGTGAAAAAAAATCAGCTTTGCCTAAGTTTCTGGCTATAATTGCTGCGTTTGGAGTTTATTTGTACTTTCATCTTACTAATATTAATTGTACATGATCGCTTCGTTTATCTGTAAACAAACTTTTGAAAATAATGACTAAAAGCACTTTATTTGAAAAAAAATCCGAACTCAACATTTTTTTCATATTTTTTAGGGATAGTACATTAGTAGAGCCACCTCCCCTAGCAGTTTGATTCACCCATTCTGGGACACCCTGTATATCAAGTCTTTTCAAGAGCTATGGCTATACGATATAATGATGCTGTAGAAAAATTTGAGTTATTTATTTGTACTGTAATGGTAAAATGGTTGTATCACACATCATTGATGTAACAATCAATCTGACCTAGTCTCTACGCTCTAAATCTTTACAAATGGCACATCGCGTTGTCTATAATTGGAGTCTATGAGGAAGAAATTTTTTAACAAGGCATTTGCAATAATTGGTAAATGTCACTATAACAATAATATTAGTTAGAATTAGTATTCAAGACGTAAGTAGGTAGAGTTTTAAAGGATTTTCCTTTTAAAATAAAAGCATAAGTAGTTCAAATCAATAATGATAATGATGTCAATCAAACTAGACATCATTATTATTATGAAATCTACACATGATAAGAATGATGATAATGTTTCAAATATACTCCATACGGTAATTTTCATTGCATTGTCATTTCATTATTGCAAAATCTCGTCTTAGTTTGGTATCTAATTGGTATATAATTTGGTAACTGTAACCCTCCAATTATAGAAATACGAAAATCTTATTTCCAAAGAAATAAGAAAATAACATCGCAGATTACAACCCGACCTGTAATTACGGTGAAAGTGATTGAGTCTGTTAAATTCATAATGCGAGGGAAGGGAAGGGAAGTCCCTGAAATACTGGGGTCGACCCCCAACCTCGGCTAACTCAGTAACTCACTTATTTTATGCGCAAGAAAAGGTGCTTTATTAGACGTAAACCTTTTGGCTAATAAATACATTGAATGTCATTGTTCACATTGAATGTTATTGTTATTTTATTAATAATTTAATCAAATTTGTCGGCCGTTTGGTGTAGTGGTTCGAAACGGACTACTATTCCGGAGGTTGCGGGTTCGATTCCCGCACAGTACAAACATTTGTGTGCATGAACATATTTGTTTGTATTGGACTGGGTGTTTTCTATGTATAATATGTATGTATTTACAAAAAAAAAAGTATTTACGTATGTTTATATCCGTTGTCTAGTACCCATAGTACAAGCTTAGAGCTTAGTTTGGGACTAGAAGCGCAGTGTAAAATGTCCAAGGATATTTATTTATCTAAATATATAAAAGGAGAAACTGACTGACTGACTGACAGATCAACGCACAGCCTAAACGGCTAAACGTAGGCACTTGAAATTTGGAAGGGACGTAGCTTAGGTACCGTAGAGGTGCACTAAGAAAGGAATTCCCGTAATTCCCACGGGAACGGGAATTAGCGGGAAAAACAGGATTCACGCGTACGAAGTCGCGGGCGGCCGCTAGTTTATTTATAATTAACTTTTCTAACAACTCTATTTTAGTAAATTGCCGACTCTACAAAAGCTAGGAATATTTTCTTGACTGAAAACTCTATCAGTACCTAATTAGTTTCCTACAGCTAAAAAAATGTGTTCCATTAAAATTTTACTATGCTGAAAACTCATTTATTCACGACAAAGACCATTCAGAATCTAAGTGTAGACTCTACAAGTCTACACTGTAGAGTTCATTACAACAGCTTATAAGATTGTTGTTTTAATTAATTTCACGATAGTTTCTGTTAAAGTCATCAAGCGTAGGAGTTTCCTGTCTAAGTAGCTTTTATTTAGTTCATTGTACTATTACATCGTACATACTACTTACTTACACATACTGCTTTTGAAATGAAACTATGAGTAATAACCAAAATGTTACCAATTAATAAAAAATATAATACTGAAGCTCTACATATTTCTACAGTAGTAGTCCAAAAGAATACTAGTTCCTTGATGATATAATAATATCAATGAGGGTTTTCGCGATTGAAAAATCCGCCAGATGGCAATACGTAGACGCGAGGTCCAAATGCTGCATGATTGGTGGATTTTGACATATCTGTCAATGTCATGTCAAAAATAACCAATAATGCAGCATTTGGACCTCGCGTCTACGTATTGCCATGTGGCGGATTTTTCAATCGCGAAAAATGTCATTGTTCACATTGAATGTTATTGTTATTTTATTAATAATTTAATCAAATTTGTCGGCCGTTTGGTGTAGTGGTTCGAAACGGACTACTATTCCGGAGGTTGCGGGTTCGATTCCCGCACAGTACAAACATTTGTGTGCATGAACATATTTGTTTGTATTGGACTGGGTGTTTTCTATGTATAATATGTATGTATTTACAAAAAAAAAAGTATTTACGTATGTTTATATCCGTTGTCTAGTACCCATAGTACAAGCTTAGAGCTTAGTTTGGGACTAGAAGCGCAGTGTAAAATGTCCAAGGATATTTATTTATCTAAATATATAAAAGGAGAAACTGACTGACTGACTGACAGATCAACGCACAGCCTAAACGGCTAAACGTAGGCACTTGAAATTTGGAAGGGACGTAGCTTAGGTACCGTAGAGGTGCACTAAGAAAGGAATTCCCGTAATTCCCACGGGAACGGGAATTAGCGGGAAAAACAGGATTCACGCGTACGAAGTCGCGGGCGGCCGCTAGTTTATTTATAATTAACTTTTCTAACAACTCTATTTTAGTAAATTGCCGACTCTACAAAAGCTAGGAATATTTTCTTGACTGAAAACTCTATCAGTACCTAATTAGTTTCCTACAGCTAAAAAAATGTGTTCCATTAAAATTTTACTATGCTGAAAACTCATTCATTCACGACAAAGACCATTCAGAATCTAAGTGTAGACTCTACAAGTCTACACTGTAGAGTTCATTACAACAGCTTATAAGATTGTTGTTTTAATTAATTTCACGACAGTTTCTGTTAAAGTCATCAAGCGTAGGAGTTTCCTGTTCTTAGTCGCTTTTATTTAGTTCATTGTACTATTACATCGAACATACTACTTACTTACACATACTGCTTTTGAAAGAAACTATGAGTAATAACCAAAATGTTACCAATTAATAAAAAATATAATACTGAAGCTCTACATATTTCTACAGTAGTAGTCCAAAAGAATACTAGTTCCTTGATGATATAATAATATCAATGAGGGTTTTCGCGATTGAAAAATCCGCCAGATGGCAATACGTAGACGCGAGGTCCAAATGCTGCATGATTGGTGGATTTTGACATATCTGTCAATGTCATGTCAAAAATAACCAATAATGCAGCATTTGGACCTCGCGTCTACGTATTGCCATCTGGCGGATTTTTCAATCGCGAAAACCCTCATTAATGATAGAGCTACAGCTCTATTATGTTAACGTCGATACTAACGCCACCTCTACGCGACTCTACAATTTTGTAACACATTTCAACTGTCCGATAAAGGCCTCCTGCCAGTCAGTGTAACAGCGCACTGCCAGATGGCGTGACTCGTCCGAAACTATAGATCATTTCAGTAGTGATATTTTATTTGTCAGTAGTGTAGTGGTATTTGTCGGCCGT